CCTTTTATTAACCAGCTGTTGTTCCACTATACTGATCAGATTTGTCTGAACATATGGAGAGTGTATACTCGGTGATGAATGGCAGATTGTAAGCATCTTGAGATGTGATGAATACCATTTTCAAGTTATATAATGGACAAACACTAATAAGAAAGCTCCCTAACTATATAGATTACTCTATGCTCCTTACTCTAAGGGAAAGGCCTCTGTTCAAACCTCTGCAACAATACTGAAATATAAAGACTTTTGCTCAATCAATCAATAGATACAATGGACGTTACTACTTAGCTATTTCATTGTGGTTTAAAAATATTCCCCAAATTATTCACATTTACAGAAAAAAAGTGACTTCTGACTTGAACACCCACATGCAATCACAATAATACAGAATATAGTTGGCGATACCACTAAGATCACCAAATTCAGCACCACATTATTACGGTTGGTTACGCAGTCAACTCGATATTGAGACTGAACTGGGCATTTTATCCACTTATCAAGTGTTTCCCAAGGACCTGGGAGAAGTAGATATTATTTTATCATCGTGGTTATCATGTTTAAAAGGGCAGCAGAATTCCTATCCTGCTCCACTTCTCTTCTTCCTTCCTTTTCTCCTAGAAGCCTCTAGAGAAACGAAGGTGCCTAGAACAGATGAGATGAGAAACAGGATGGAAGGAAGGGAAAGGTGGAATCTCAAAGGCCATGTTGTCTAGGAACTTCTCACTCTGGTAAGGTTACTGAATGTGGCTGATGGGATTTGCTTCTAAGAGGTCCCTAAAGACATGCGTGAGCTTCAGAAAAACCCACATGTCAGCCCTCCCTGGAGTTATACGTATGCACACATGCTATGTCAGGCAGAAAAAGAAAAATTGTTCAATCAGGCAACCTATGCATAGCAGAGGATGCCAACAAAGGGGGGGGGAGAGGGGGGAGAAAGAGAGAGAGAACACAGATGTGAAAGCTCTGCTGTAAGAACCCTTAAAAAAAAAACCAACCCAACAGGTGAGTGCAGGTTTGTAAAGCAGCCCCCTCCCAGCCATTTCTGCATCCACGTGCAAGAGCAGGTTGCTGCAAAAATACGCGTTTGGATATAAAAGACAGCTCCCCCCCCCTTCAATCTCGGTGTGTCTGTGCGTCCTGTGCTTGCACAAGAACAGAATAATAATGTAGCTTGCAGGTGCACATGGGAAGCCAAACCACTTATCTGGGACAAATCAGGCAGAGGGACCAGTCCTTGCGCTCGCCTCGCAAGATCCGGTGGGCCAGGCGCGCGATAACAAGAGACAGATCGCCACCCTCGGCCCAACACTCGCCAATGCGCGGCGAACAGAGCGCCAGGAGCCGCAGCATCTCCGAAGCGGATCAGGTGCAGGGCAAGCAAGGAGCGGCGCTGGGCAACTCCGAGGGTCTCTCTCTCTCTCTCCCTTCCATCCAAGGCGCGACACCCACCCACCCCCGTCCCCGTCCCCGCGCTTGGGGCCCACAGGCCTCTCGCCTCCCCCCCCCACCCGCCCGCCACGCCGCCACAGGAGGAGGCCCGGAGAAACCCCGGGGTGGCGCGCGTCTTGAACCCGTGCCCTCGGAGCCCCCCGAGGACGGCGAGCCCGAGGCAGCCGAGCGTGCGGGAAGGCTCCTCAACCCTCCCGGTGGCCGCAACCCGCCAAGCCGCCACCGCACGTCTCTCCCACCTCCCCCCCACCGAATTGCCTTTGCGGCACGGGCTCGCCAATAGGGCTCTCCTGGCCGCCGCGGCTCCTTACCGTGGGCAGCAGCGGCTCCATCTGAGCGCCTTGATCTTTCATCTCCATCTTCCGCGCGCCTTTTGGAAAGGGGCGAGCTTGGGGCGCTCGACTCGGCTGGCGACGCGCCTCCCTCGAGGGTTTCCCCCGCCTCCGGCGCCCGAACCCCCTCGCTGCCTCCGCTCAGGGAGTCGGATCAGGTAGCTCTGAAGCAGAGGAGGCAAGTCGCACGCCTCGGACTCACCGGCGAGTCACATGGCTCCCCGGTCGCCCTCGAAAGGAGGAGGAGGAGGCGGCGGCGGCGGTGGCGGCCCCTCCGCTCCTCGCTCCGCACAGTGCCCACTGCTGGGAAGCAGGACCGCAGGGCGGAGAAAGGTAACTGTGGGTTGACTTGGCGGAGGAGGAGGAGGAGCCTATCCAACTCCCGCTACCCAAGCAGGCAACGCACCGAGCAAGGCTCCGAGCCGAGATGAGATGCTGCCCATCCTGACGCGCTTTGCAATCCTACAGGCCACGGCTGGCAAAGCCACGCGCGCCCACACCTCACCCACCCACCCACCCCCGTTCCCCAAGCAGCACCGAGGATGCTGCATCCAAAACAGCTGGAATCCATTTCTAAGTCCCGGCCACAGGAGCGGCTTCCTTTGTTGCTTACAACTTTCCAAGGTCATTCTTGGGCACCACCTGTGACCTTGAAAAAATGCGATCAAAACTGACTGCCACCCATCACACGCCAGGGTTATCTGACGTGCTGCAGCTCCAGTTCCATGGAAGGGGGGTTGGGGGGGGGAAGCAGGTGTATGTCAGAGCTGCTCCTTATCCCTTCCTCCTTCCTTGTCACACTATCCAGGAGGCCACTGAGGCAAATGTACAGCCCATGGGCATCTAATATAATTGCACAAAGAATATCCCAGCAATTGGATTCTGCCAACTTCAGATTCAAACCTGAAAGGAACCATTATCAGAAGAAGAAAAAAAAATACAGTCACCGCTCTTTCAAAATATCCAGGACTACAATACTATATATGGGCTGCGCAATTCAAGACAATGACCACTGTGGGTGGCAGCAAAGAGATTCAGAAAAAAAAATCTGGCTTTTCTGCCACCTAGCAGCTGTCTGGAGTTTTGCAGCCCAGAAATGGTAGTCTAAATCAAATCTCATTTAGGTAGCAGCTCAGTGAAATATTTGATGCATTAGAGCAGGGGTGTCCAACCTTGGCAACTTTAAGACTTGTGGAC